ACTATTATTCTGACATTTCACATTCTTAAAATAAAGTGGTGATCCTAACAGGGAATTATTACTAGGATTAAATGTCAGGAATTGTGAAAAACTGAGTTTAAGTGTATTTGGCTAAGGTGTATGTAAACTTCCGACTTCAACTATACATATATAAACACTGCTCAACAAAATTAAGGGAACACTAAAATAACACATCCTAGATCTGAATGAATGAAATAATCTTATTAAATACTTTTTTCTTTACATAGTTGAATGTGCTGACAACAAAATCACACAAAAAGTATCAATGGAAATCAAATGTATCAACCCATGGAGGTCTGGATTTGGAGTCACCCTCAAAATTAAAGTGGAAAACCACACTACAGGCTGATCCAACTTTGATGTAATGTCCTTAAAACAAGTCAAAATGAGGCTCAGTAGTGTGTGTGGCCTCCACGTGCCTGTATGACCTCCCTACAACGCCTGGGCATGCTCCTGATGAGGTGGCGGATGGTCTCCTGAGGGATCTCCTCCCAGACCTGGACTAAAGCATCCGCCAACTCCTGGACAGTCTGTGGTGCAACGTGGCGTTGGTGGATGGAGCGAGACATGATGTCCCAGATGTGCTCAATTGGATTCAGGTCTGGGGAACGGGCGGGCCAGTCCATAGCATCAATGCCTTCCTCTTGCAGGAACTGCTGACACACTCCAGCCACATGAGGTCTAGCATTGTCTTGCATTAGGAGGAACCCAGGGCCAACCGCACCAGCATATGGTCTCACAAGGGGTCTGAGGATCTCATCTCGGTACCTAATGGCAGTCAGGCTACCTCTGGCGAGCACATGGAGGGCTGTGCGGCCCCCCCAAAGAAATGCCACCCCACACCATGACTGACCCACCGCCAAACCGGTCATGCTGGAGGATGTTGCAGGCAGCAGAACGTTCTCCACGGCGTCTCCAGACTCTGTCACGTCTGTCACGTGCTCAGTGTGAACCTGCTTTCATCTGTGAAGAGCACAGGGCGCCAGTGGTGAATTTGCCAATCTTGGTGTTCTCTGGCTAATGCCAAACGTCCTGCACGGTGTTGGGCTGTAAGCACAACCCCCACCTGTGGACGTCGGGCCCTCATACCACCCTCATGGAGTCTGTTTCTGACCGTTTGAGCAGACACATGCACATTTGTGGCCTGCTGGAGGTCATTTTGCAGGGCTCTGGCAGTGCTCCTCCTGCTCCTCCTTGCACAAAGGTTGAGGTAGCAGTCCTGCTGCTGGGTTGTTGCCCTCCTACGGCCTCCTCCACGTCTCCTGATGTACTGGCCTGTCTCCTGGTAGCGCCTCCATGCTCTGGACACTACGCGGACAGACACAGCAAACCTTCTTGCCACAGCTTGCATTGATGTGCCATCCTGGATGAGCTGCACTACCTGAGCCACTTGTGTGGGTTGTAGACTCCGTCTCATGCTACCACTAGAGTGAAAGCACCGCCAGCATTCAAAAGTGACCAAAACATTAGCCAGGAAGCATAGGAACTGAGAAGTGGTCTGTGGTCACCAACTGCAAAACCAGTCCTTTATTAGGGGTGTCTTGCTAATTGCCTATAATTTCCACCTGTTGTCTATTCCATTTGCACAACAGCATGTGAAATGTATTGTCAATCAGTGTTGCTTCCTAAGTGGACAGTTTGATTTCACAGAAGTGTGATTGACTTGGAGTTACATTGTGTTGTTTAAGTGTTCCCTTAATTTTTTTGAGCAGAGTATATACAGTACCAGTCAAAAGGTTGGACACACGTACTCATTCAAGGGTTTTTCTTTATTTTTACTATTTTCTATATTGTAGAATAAAAGTGAAGACATCAAAACTATAAAATAGCACATATGGAATCATGTAGTAAACAAAAAAGTGTTAAACAAGTCTAAATATATTTGAGATTCTTCAAAGTAGCCACCCTTTGCCTTGATGACAGCTTTGCACACTCTTGGCATTCTGTCAACCAGCTTCATGAGGAATGCTTTTCCAACAGTCTTGAAGGAGTTCCCACATATGCTGAGCACTGCTTTTCCTTCACTCTGCTGTCCAACTCATCCCAAACCATCTCAATTGGGTTGAGGTCGGGTGATTGTGGAGGCCAGGTCATCTGATGCAGCACTCCATCACTCTCATTGGTCAAATAGCCCGTACACAGCCTGAAGGTGTGTTTTAGGTCATCGTCCTGTTGAAAAACAAATTATAGTCCTACTAAGTGCAAACCAGATGGGATGGCGTATCACTGCAGAATGCTGTGGTAGCCATGCTGGTTAAGTGTGCCTGACAGTGTCACCAGCAAAGCACCATCACACCTCTTCCTCCATGCTTCACGGTGGGAACTACACATGTGGAGATCATCCGTTCACCTACTCTGTGTCTCACAAAGACATGGCGGTTGGAACTAAAAATCTCAAATTTGGACTCCTCTGAACAGTTGATGTTGAGATATGTCTGTTACTTGAACTCTGTGAAGCATTTATTTGGGCTGCAATCTGAGGTGCAGTTAACTCTAATGAACTTATCCTCTGCAGCAGCGGTAACTCTGGGTCTTCCTTTCCTGTGGTGGTCCTCATGAGAGCCAGTTTCATCATAGCCCTTGATGGTTTTTGCGACCGCACTTGAAGAAACTTTCAAAGTTCTTGACATTTTCCGGATTGACTGACCTTCATGTCTTAAAGTAATGATGGACTGTCGTTTCTCTTTGCTGATTTGAGCTGTTCTTGCCATAATATGGACTTTTCTCTAAATATGGTATTTTACTAAATAGGGCTATCTTATGTATACAACCCCTACCTTGACACAACACAACTGACTGGCTCAAACGCATTAAGAAGGAAAGAAATTCCACAATTTAACAAGGCACACCTGTTAATTGAAATGCATTCCAGGTGACTACCTCATGAAGCTGGTTGAGAGAATGCCAAGCGTGTGCAAAGCTGTCATCAAGGCAAAATGTGGCTACTTCGAAGAATCTCAAATATAACATATTTTGATTTGTTTAACACTTTTTTTGGTAACTACATGATTCCATATGTGTTATTTCATAGTTTTGAAAAACCCTGGAATGAGTAGGTGTCCAAACCTTTGACTGGTACTGTATTTACACACACACATACACAAACTCTCATAGTATATTGACAGACACACAAATAGTACTACTCAATTCCGAACTACAAACTAGTGTACTTTAAATGTACTGTTGAAAAGTTCACACCGAACAGAGCATGCAGGTTTTAGTGGCCCCCTGCCAAGTCATTTCCTGGATTTGCTGATTCCCACTGACACCCTTTAATATGAATTACCTCACGTAGTTAAATTTAAACCTCTTCAGTTGTGTACAATTTAGGAAAGGAATTAATTGCGATCTGATTAGCTGTGTGTATGACTTACACTGTTAATGTACAATGTGTGTGTGTGTCTAACAGTTCAAGTCGTGAGTGTGTGATTAGAACCATGAATCAAAGTCTACTTCAACAGGTTTGCCAAATGAAAAACAGAATTTATTTACAAAACAATCATATAAACTTTGCAACACAACAGCAAAAGGAGGAAGTATAACTACATTCCACCATTATATTTTCAGGGTTTCTGGTTGATAGAAAAACAATATGCAGTTCAGAAGTAGTGTAGGCACATCCAGATTCTTGCAAGTGCAAGTTACATGTTTACAGACTTTTTCGGGATCTTAAGTCCACAGCAGTAAAAGATCCAGAGCTTCCTGTGCATGTGCTCTCTACACACAGAGAACAGGCTACTCAGGCGAATGGTCATGGTGCTTGTTTAATAAAAGTTAGATCAAGGCTGAATCAATGTCTGCAAGATCACAATGATCAAAGTATTCTCCATAACAGAACCGAATATAATAGCAACGTATAACGTTACTACAAAACAAAAACACCAACGCATTTTTCTCTCATGTGGCCAAAAACCCAACAGCTTGCGCCACTGGGCAAAATACACAGGTAGGCTATGCTACAGTTTGTTAACACCATCAGCTCTAAAACTCATTCACCCCATCATTCAAAACAACACTGCGGGCTACTTCGAAGCAATACTGTATAACTCAAGAAGATTAAATGCATATCCCCATTTTTTGTCTTACAGTAACGTTATACTATGCTATTATATTCAAATCGGTTATGTTGAATACTATCATTGTGATCATGCAGACACTGATTCAGCTTTGATCTACTTTTATTAAACGAACACCATTCACCTGAGTAGCCTGTTCTCTGTGTGTAAAGTGGAGAGTATAAACATGCGCAGAAGCTTCCGGAAGCTCCAGATCTTTAAGTGAGGCAGACTAAACATTCCGAAAAACTCGCCGCCGCAGCCACATCATGATAGAAAGATAGATACCCACACACTTGAACTCTCCAGCAGTTTTATGGAGTGTAACGTTTCAACCCGAAGGTTGAAAACCAAGACCTTCAGGTCAGGACTCATAGAATTAGGAATTAGAATACTAGAATGGACATTAACCTTCTTATGATGGGATAAAGGTCAGCCATTTTGGTCAGAGAGTTGGTCAACCATGGTTTGTCAGTGCTGTGATAAGATAGTGTAAAATAATTAATTAGAAGAATGTATCTGCAATGTTTGTCAGCTAGCTAGCCAGCCAGTTTTAGAGGAATAACTGGCTGAAATCAGTTGATGATAGGACTTAGACAAGCTGTAAATGCAACAAGTACTGATATTGTATCATATTATAGCACTAGCAGCTTTCCAAGAAAACAACAATTTAGACAATTATGGTCTCCTTAAATTGGTATAAAACCCATATAAACTGTATTTATAATTATATGACAATATTTTAGGTTGATAATTCTATTACACAGTTTCTGATATATCACATGCATTACTTTTCTTTTTCTGAATAAGTAAAATCAGGATTATTCCTCTACTGCCATTCATTCCAATTAGATTGGTTTGGATTTCTCCCTGACCAATATGGCTGCCATTTTCACCCCATTCTGGAACTTTGAGGGTTTATGACATAGCCCCTCTAGTAATTTAATATGATCTCCATGTCAGGACCTTATAACTTGACGAAGACCTTCAGTTCGAAACATTTTACACAATAAAACTGAGGCAGCATTCAGCAGTGTGTAAGGGTGGATATCTACATCTCAAGCGGTAAATGATTGATTATCTTCCTCTAGTCTGTTGCCCATAATGGTGGGTGTGTGTGAAGGTCGTAGGTCAAAAGGTTGGGGGTTAGAGGGGACACTCTGTGTCGTACGCTACCGGCCCAAACTCCCCCATCCTCTTCAGCAATGCCGCTTTGACAGCACTGATCTTCACATCCAGCTCCGACAGACTGCAGGCCTGCCAACATGGGAGACAAGAACAATCACAGTCAAACCCGTTGCACACAGATCTACCCCTCCATAGACATACAAGTATATCCACATACGTGCACACTAAAATCAGTGTTACCTTAAACTGGTAGTTGTCCACGGACCGGAGGTTGAGAAACACTGCTTTGAATTTGAATGTAATGGAAGAAGGAAAGTTATGAGACAAGCGGAAAGGTATGACAACACATCTCACCTGAGACATTGAGGTCTTTGGTCGCTTGTGTAGGTAACTCTGAAAGAACACAGGGATGAGAGGTTAGATTGTTTAGGTAACTCAGAGAGAACAGAGAGAAAGAGGTTAAGTCACTTTTTGACAGTAGAACCGTTAGAGGTTAGCCACTGGCAACATTCCTGCCATGCACAGGGTCAGAGACAGACTGAAAAAAATATTTCAAAAAATATTTCCCGTCCATTAAAGATGCACTATGCAGAAATCGCTATGCCATTTCCTGGTTGCTAAAATTCTAAATTGTTCGCATAATTTCCGTTTATGTGACAATACAAGCAAGTATTAGTGTAGAGAATCATTGTACCATCTAAACCGCTGTGAAATATATTTTCCATAACCAAAATGATTGTATTTTCAGCTGTTTGAAGCTGTTGTACAAAAAAACGAAAGTAAAAGACAAAACGGAAAGCATAGAAATAACGAACATAGAGCATATATCCCGCTTCTTAGACTTGCTTTCAATGTGACTGACATGGTCCAAACTATCATGGTCCAAACACACCAAGACAGTCGTGAAGAGGGCACGACAAAGCCTATTCCCCCTCAGGAGACTGAAAATATTTGGCATGGGTCCTCAGATCCTCTAAAAGTTCTACAGCTGCACCATCGAGAGCATCCTGACTGGTTGCATCACTGCCTTCGATCGCAAGGCACTACAGAGGGTAGTGCGTACGGCCCAGTGCATCATTGGGGCCAAGCTTCCTGCCATCCAGGACCTCTATACCAGGCAGTGTCAGAGGAAGGCCCTAAAAATTGTCAAAGACTCCAGCCACCCTAGTCATACGCTGTTCTCTCTGCTACCGCACGGCAAGCGGTACTGGAGCGCCAAGTCTAGGTCCAAAAGGCTTCTTAACAGCTTCTACCCCCAAGCCATAAGACTCCTGAACAGCTAATCATGGCTACCCAGACTATTTGCACTGCCACCCCACCCCATTTTTTACGCTGCTGCTAATCTCTGTTTATTATCTATGCATAGTCACTTTAACTCTACCCACATGTACATATTACCTCAATTACCTCGACTAACTTGTGCCCCCGCACATTGACTCTGTACCGGTACCCCATGTATATAGCCTCCCTACTGTTATTTTATTTTACTGCTGCTCTTTAATTATTTGTTATTTTTTACTTTTCCATTTTTTACTTAACACTTATTTTTCTTAAAACTGCATTGTTGGTTAAGGGCTTGTAAGTAAGCATTTCACTGTAAGATCTACACCTGTTGTATTCGGCGCATGTGGCAATACAATTTGATTTGACAGATCTATTACTCACATTTCTATGTGAATTTGGTCAGGTCGTCCAAAAAGTTACATATTGTAGCTTTAAAATTAGCCCTGAGGGTTACTTGTTCTTTTTACGTCGATACACAGACCCAATATCATCTATTTCTGGAAATGGAATAAATCTAATAGCTTTCAGAATAAGAAATACTCTAACAACCAGCCGGGGCTTTCCTTAATGTTTTGGTGACAAAAAAACATTCTGCAAGAAGGTTAATAGTACTTAAACAGTTATGTACAAGTACATTACTCATATGAAGAATTCCCATGAAAAATTCAGAGTTATTTAGGAATGAGAGTACAAAAACATGGCCTTCCCACCCTCACCCCAACCATGAAAGTATTTTATTGCACTACAGCAGTCTGCTATGCAACATACAGTACTGTAAATCTAAAGACTTGGGTAATGACTTCGCTAAACCACTGATAGAAAAGTAGAGGAGACCTGCATTAGGCCCTGGGTACGAGTGTAAAGGGTTAAGTATTAAAGATGAGATTATAGAATCGCTAGGCCGCTACTGAGGCAACATCTCCACTCCTCAACCCTCCCCTCCTCCGCCCTCCACCTTTGGAAGTACACGCTGAACACGTTTCCAAACTATTTGCAGAAATTGCTTAAACAGTGGAACACTGAATAAAAAAAGATCAGCTCAGTTTATTCAAAGACACTCTCAACCCCCAGCTCTCTGTGCACGCACGCACACAGACACGCACACAGACACGCACACAGACACCCACACACAGACACGCACACAGACACCCACACAGACACAGACACACACACACAGACGACACACACACAGACACACACACACAGACACACACACACAGACACACACACAGAGACACACACACACACAGACACACACTCTAAAGGAGATAGAGAGCAGCACGCTCTTAGAACCGGTACGTCAAGCCAAGAGAAGGGAGTGATAAGAGTCATGCAGAAACTCAAGCACTCTTACTCAGCTAACTTTGATAGGCTAAAATCTGACATGGATGATATATTCTGAACTGAAGAGGGTGGAGTGAGGAAGACATATGCCACGTCTGATAATCATGGCATGAGAATTCTCGGGCTCAATATGGAAAAATTCTAACATGGAGAAATACTAACATGCACGCACACGTGTACACGCACGCATGTGCGCACACACACACACAAAAAAATAAGTGGATGTGTTAAAACCTTTCTACCACACCAAACTCACAGACTGGAAGTACTCCGGTGAAAGTCCCTCCAACTCCAGGATCCGATCTTCAAGCTTCTTCAGCCTCTGGTACACACTTAAAGGCACTGGACCCTCTGGAAAAGAAAGAAGGTTTGTGTGTCTGATAGAAATATTAGGAGTATAAGACCAGAATTCTTCAAGACAGTCAAGTCTAAGAAATTGAAATGAATTAAAATGTTTGGGTAAAGAGAGACATGCTACCACAATACGGCCGATAGCACATCTTGTTTAACCTCCTCACCTGTTGGGAGCTTTAGGTGCGTCTCGATGTTGTGCAGGCGTTCCTCTATGGCTGGATTCCCACAGTCTCTAGACACCATGGCCCTCTGCTGCTCCTCAGCCTCCCCCAAGGCTCCTCCTCCTACACCTCCCCCTCCACGAGTCTGAGGCCCATAGGTGTTCACCACACGCAACACTGCACAGACAATAGAAAACAATCAATTGCAAAGTAAAGAAACATACCAGAGCCGTTCCTCGGAATGAGTCCCTTTTTTACGTCCCTTTGATATTTTAAGTAGAAATTGTGCACCAACATTGGATTTTAAAAGCCTGTTATATTAAAATGTAGTGGCCTTTAATATAGACCACATGGAAAGTTCAATAAATCAGATGTTTTATATGAAAATTCCTCCGTTTTCACAAAGCCCTGATTATTTTGTTGTTTTTAACAAAGTAATTTCTGAAGATTATTATTTATTTAATGTGATAAGTGATCATTAAAAAAAAAATTTTTTTATAATAAACGTTTTAATATGGTGAAGGTATTCCTTTTTAAAGGGCGACTGCACTTCCTGATTTGGCCTCGTCTTTCATCAACGCTCATTAAGAAATGCTAGCTGCCGTGACTGAAGGCAAACGAGAGTTGGTGTGGTTTGATGTGGGTGTTTCTTGGGTGTGTCTTTGCCATTCAAATCACAACAAAAAAAGGACAGTAGCTAACCAGTTCGCATTTAAATTACTGAAAGCAAGCTGGTAATATGCATCAAACATGTCGTTAACGTTAGCTACCAGGGATCAAACCTGTCTTCAGGTGAAATGTTATCTAAGCAAATTTTCCCCTCACATTACGTGTTAGGGAGAGGCTATGTATTTAGCTCACGTGTCAAACTAATTCCATGGAGGGCAGAATGTCTGCGGGTTTTCACTCCTCCCTTGTACTTGATTGATGAATTAAGGTCACTGATTAGTAAGGAACTCCCCTCACTTGGTTGTCTAGGTCTTAATTGAAACCAAAAACTTGCAGACACTAGGCCCTCCATGGAATGAGTTTAACACCCCTGATTTAGCTAGTTACATCACAGTATCATAGTCTAGTACAGGGGTAGGCAACCCTGGTCCTGGAGGGCCGCAGGCACTTCATGTTTTTGATTTAATCGACCTGGAAGACCAGGTGTGTTGAATTTAGGTAACTGAACTGATTAATTAGCTCAGTTGGTCAGGTGTGATGCCTAGTTGGAACAAAATCTTGCAGTACCTGCGGCACTCGAGGAACAGGGTTGCCTATCCCTGGTCTATAGGTTAATTTGCATAATTTAGTGGAATTAAATTGGAGCATGTGTATTTAGTCACCATGTACAGTGCCTTCAGAATGTATTGATACCACTTGACTTGTTCCACTTTTTGTTGTGTTACAGCTTGAATTTAAAATGGATTACATTTAGATTTTTTTTCACACAATACCCCATAATGTCAAAATGGAATTAATGTTTTTCAAAATTTGTACAAATTAATTACAAATGAAAAGCTGAAATGTCTTGAGTCAACAAGTATTCAACCTCTTTGTTATGGCAAGCCTAAATAAGTTCTGGAGTAAACGTGCTTAACAAGTCATGTAAATTGCATGGACTCACTCTGTGTGCAATAATAGTGTTGAACATGATGTTTGAATGACTACCTCATCTCTGTATCCCCACACATAAAATTATCTGTAAGGTCCCTCAGTCGAGCAGTGAATTTCAAACACAGATTCAATCACAAAGACCAGGGAGGTTTTCCAATGCCTAGCAAAGAAGGGCACCTATTGGTAGATGGGTAAAAAAAACATTGAATATCCCTTTGAGCATGGTTAATTACACTTTGGATGGTGTATCAATACACCCAGTCACTACAAAGACACAGGTGTCCTTCCTGACTCCATTGCCGGAGAGGAAGGAAACCACTCAGGGATTTCCCCATGAGGCCAATGGTGACTTTAAAACCATTACAGAGTTTAATGGCTGTGATAGGAGAAAACTGAGGATGGATCAACAACATTGTAGTTACTCCACAATACTTACCTAATTGACAGAGTGAAAAGGAAGCCTGTACAGAATGACAAATATTCCAAAACATGCATCCTGTTCGCAACAAGGCACTAAAGAAATACTGCAAGAAATGTGGCAAAGCAATTAACCTTTTGTCCTGAATATATGTTTGGGGCAAATCCAATACAACACATTACGGAGTACCACTCTCCATATTTTCAAGCATAGTGGTGGCTGCATCATGTTATGGGTATGCTTGTAATCGTTAAAGACTGGAGTTTTTCAGGATAAAAAAAGAAACTGAGCTAAGCTCAGGCAAAATCCTAGAGGAAAACCTGCTTGAGTCTGCTTTCCACCAGGAGATTAATTCACCTTTCAGCAGGACAATAACCTAAAACATAAGGTCAAACATACACTGGAGTTGCTTACCAAGAAGACAGTGAATGTTCCTGAGTGGCCAAGTTACAGTTTTGACATAAATCTACTTGAAAATCTATTGCAGACCTGAAAATGGTTGTCTAGCAATGATCAACAAGCAATTAGACAGTGTTAGAAGAATTTTGAAAAGAATAATGGGCAAATGTTGCACAATCCAGGTGTGGAAAGCTCTTAGACACTTACCCAGAAAGAATCACAGCTGTAATCGCTGCCAAAGGTGCTTCTACAAAGTATTGACTCAGTGGTGTGAATACTTATGTAAATTAGCAAAAAATATCTACAAACATGTTTTCACTTTGTCGTTATGGGGTATTGTGGGTAGATGGGTGAGAATACAAATCTATTTAATCCATTTTGAATTCAGGCTGTAACAACAAAATGTGGAATAAGTCGAGGGGTATGAATACTTTCTGAAGGCACTGTATCTGACCAGGAGAAAGCTATGATCCCTTATAGATTTTTAAGCCTTGAGACAATGAAGACATGGATTGTGTATGTGTGCAATTCAGAGGGAGAATGGGCAAGACCAAAAATGTAAGTGCCTTTGAACGGGGTATGGTAGTAGGTGCCAGGCGCAACGGTTTGTGTCAAGAACTGCAACGCTGCTGGGTTTTTCACACGCAACAGTTTCCCGTGTGTATCAAGAATGGTCCACCACCCAAAGGACATTCAGCCAACTTGACACAACTGTGGGAAGCATTGGCATCAACATGGGCCACACCTGCTCGTCGAACATCTCATTCCAAAATCATAGGCATTAATATGGAGTTGGTCCCCCCTTTGCTGCTATACTCTTCTGGGAAGGTTTTCCACTAGATGTTGGAACATTGCTGCGGGGACTTGCTTCCATTCAGCCACAAGAGCATTAGTGAGGTCGGGCACAGATGTTGGGCGATTAGGCCTGGCTCGCAGTCTGCGTTCCAATTCATCCCAAAGGTGTTTGATGTGGATGAGGTCAGGATTCTGTGCAGGCCAGTTAAGTTCGTCCACACCGATCTCGACAAAACATTGCTGTATGGACCTTGCTTTGTGCACGGGGGCATTGTCATGCTGAAACAGGAAAGGATCTTCCTCAAACTGTTGCCACAAAGTTGGAAGCACAGAATCGTCTAGAATGTCATTGTATGCTGTAGTGTTAAGATTTCCCTTCACTGAAACTAAAGGGCCTTGCCCGAACCATGAAAAACAGCCACAGACCATTATTCCTCCTCCACCAAACTTTACAGTTGGCACTATGCATTGGGGCTGGTAGCATTTTCCTGGCATCCGCCAAACCCAGATTCATCCATCGGACTGCCAAATGGTGAAGCGTGATTCATCACTCCAGAGAACGCGTCCACTGCTCTAGAGTCCAATGGCGACAAGCTTTACACCACTCCAGCCGACGCTTGGCACTGCGCATGATGATCTTAGGCTTGTGTGCGGCTGCTCAGCCATGGAAACCCATTTCATGAAACTCCCAACTAACAGTTCTTGTGCTGACGTTGCTTCCAGAGGCAGTTTGGAACTCAATAGTGAGTGTTGCAACCATGGACAGACGATTTTAACGTGCTTTGCGCTTCAGCACTCGGCGGTCCCGTTCTGTGAGCTTGTGTGGCCTACCACTTCGTGGCTGAGCCATTGTTGCTCCTAGACGTTTCCACTTCACAATAACAGCACTTACAGTTGACCGGGCCAGCTCTAGCAGGGCAAACATTTGACAAACTGACTTGTTGGAAAGGTGGCATTCTATGACGGTGCCACGTTGAAAGTCACTGAGCTCTTCAGTAAGGCCATTCTACTGCCAATGTTTGTCTATGGAGATTGCATGGCTGTGTGCTTGATGTTATACACCTGTCAGCAACAGGTGTGGCTGAAATAGCCAAATCCACTAATTTTAAGGGGTGTCCACATACAGTGGGGGAAAAAAGTATTTAGTCAGCCACCAATTGTGCAAGTTCTCCCACTTAAAAAGATGAGAGAGGCCTGTAATTTTCATCATAGGTACACGTCAACTATGACAGACAAAATGAGGAAAGAAAATACAGAAAATCACATTGTAGGATTTTTAATGAATTTATTTGCAAATTATGGTGGAAAATAAGTATTTGGTCACCTACAAACAAGCAAGATTTCTGGCTCTCACAGACCTGTAACTTCTTCTTTAAGAGGCTCCTCTGTCCTCCACTCGTTACCTGTATTAATGGCACCTATTTGAACTTGTTATCAGTATAAAAGACACCTGTCCACAACCTCAAACAGTCACACTCCAAACTCCACTATGGCCAAGACCAAAGAGCTGTCAAAGGACACCAGAAACAAAATTGTAGACCTGCCCCAGGCTGGGAAGACTGAATCTGCAATAGGTAAGCAGCTTGGTTTGAAGAAATCAACTGTGGGAGCAATTATTAGGAAATGGAAGACATACAAGACCACTGATAATCTCCCTTGATCTGGGGCTCCACGCAAGATCTCACCCCGTGGGGTCAAAATGATCACAAGAACGGTGAGCAAAAATCCCAGAACCACACAGGGGGACCTAGTGAATGACCTGCAGAGAGCTGGGACCAAAGTAACAAAGCCTACCATCAGTAACACACTACGCCGCCAGGGACTCAAATCCTGCAGTGCCAGACGTGTCCCCCTGCTTAAGCCAGTACATGTCCAAGCCCGTCTGAAGTTTGCTAGAGTGCATTTGGATGATCCAGAAGAGGATTGGGAGAATGTCATATGGTCAGATGAAACCAAAATATAACTTTTTGGTAAAAACTCAACTCGTCGTGTTTGGAGGACAAAGAATGCTGAGTTGCATCCAAAGAACACCATACCTACTGTGAAGCATGGGGGTGGAAACATCATGCTTTGGGGCTGTTTTTCTGCAAAGGGACCAGGACGACTGATCCGTGTAAAGGAAAGAATGAATGGGGCCATGTATCGTGAGATTTTGAGTGAAAACCTCCTTCCATCAGCAAGGGCACTGAAGATGAAACGTGGATGGGTCTTTCAGCATGACAATGATCCCAAACACACCGCCCGGGCAACGAAGGAGTGGCTTCGTAAGAAGCATTTCAAGGTCCTGGAGTGGCCTAGCCAGTCTCCAGATCTCAACCCCATAGAAAATATTTGGAGGGAGTTGAAAGTCCGTGTTGCCCAGCGACAGCCCCAAAACATCACTGCTCTAGAGGAGATCTGCATGGAGGAATGGGCCAAAATACCAGCAACAGTGTGTGAAAACCTTGTGAAGACTTACAGAAAACGTTTGACCTGTGTCATTGCCAACAAAGGGTATATAACAAAGTATTGAGAAACTTTTGTTATTGACCAAATACTTATTTTCCACCATAATTTGCAAATAAATTCATTAAAAATCCTACAATGTGATTTTCTGGATTTTTTTTTTCATTTTGTCTGTCATAGTTGATGTGTACCTATGATGAAAATTACAGGCCTCTCTCATCTTTTTAAGTGGGAGAACTTGCACAATTGGTGGATGACTAAATACTTTTTTTCCCCACTGTACTTTGTTATATATAGTGTACATATGAAGTGGGCAAAACAGTATGTAAACATTGTTAAAGTGACCAGTGTTCCATGTTCAGGTTGAGTGTCATGGCTCTTAACAAAACCCCCCGGCCAGAAGATACTATCGTCAATCGGGGCTAAAGGTAGTTGGAGTCTATGAATGGGGTAGGGCAAGTACTAACCACGTCTTGTCTGGGGAAGAGGTTCCAGTGGGTGAGTTCGTTTTGCATGACCCGGTGCCTCAGGTAGGCAGGGTTTGCTCATTTTCAACCATTCCATTGTTCCTCTTAAGGCAGTGTTTCCCAACCCTGGTCCTCGAGCACCCCCAGCAGTACACAGTTTCGTTGTAGCCCTTGACAAACACACCTCATTCAACTCATTGAGGGCTTGATGATTAGTTGACAAGTTGAATAAGGTGTGCTTGTCCAGGGTTACAATAAACATTTGTACTTTGGGGGTACTGGAGGACCAGGGTTGGGAAACATTGTCCTAAGGAGAGGTCTCCTCCGTCCGCCGAGGGGCACCGGGCCATGCAAAGCAAACTCGTCCAGTCTTTTCCCAGAAAACACTGTGCCATCACACATTAATATGCAAAATGGGGCATGAATTGTTGACCTAACTGATATCCAAACCATCAAGTAAGTCATGACGCTGTCACTTACCAAACTCCGTTTTGGACGAGACTGACTTTATGACCAAAATTATCCTATTTACACTTTGTAGTCAATTTTGACACTATAATTAGTGGCGCAGTGGTCTAAGGCACTGCATCGCAGTGCTAGCTGTGCCACTAGAGATCCTGGTTCGAATCCAGGCTCTGTCGTAGCCGGCCGCGACCGGGAGACCCATGTGGCGGCGCACAATTGGCCCAGCGTCGTCCAGGGTAGGGGAGGGAATGGCCGGCAGGGATGTAGCTCAGTTGGTAAAGCATGGCGTTTGCAACGCCAGGGTTGTGGGTTTCGATTCCCACGGGGGGCCAGTATAAAAAATAATGTATGCACTCACTAACTGTAAGTCGCTCTGGATAAGAGCGTCTGCTAAATTACTAAAATGTAAATATCGATGCCTCATAGGCCATTTAAAACCAGAGAAGTTGGTTCTAAGGGGCAGTTGACCTTTAAATATTTTTTCAAAAGAAACACTGAACATCTAATAGTCAAATCATAGGTGAGCTGGTTCTACTCATTTTGTCCATTTTCTGATGTATTGTGGTAGAAAACAGTGGGTCAAGCATAACATGTCGACCCTGTTACCCTTAGATATAAATTGTTTTTACAATGTAATTTTTTGTATGAAACTTTCATTCAATTGCCCCTCCCTGTTGCACACAACAAGCTTCCATTCCCCCTGTCACAAGGGGATTTATGGATGATTTAAGATGAAATCGTCAACGCTGTTACTTTATTTGGCCCTTCATAGGCAATTACTAAAGTAATTTATTTAATGGTAATACATGTTTTTTTTAATTAATAAGTGCCAGAATGTTAAAATTAGGTAACTATTTATTTTTACCAAGTTATACTACCCAAAATGGACTCATTGCTTTGAAAAACCCACCCATTAACATAAAAAACTATGTTTAAACTTAAGCAGAATGTTCTTACCTTTAACATGACTTTTGAAGCCTGGGTAGGGTGTGAATACTGCATCTGTTCTGGCACAGCTGTCTTCTACATAATAGCAAAAAAGAACAGTTTATATTAATCAGTGCAAAATATATATTTTACATTTGCAATATCCATTTCGTGGATAATTAACTGAAGATGCATCAGTTTAAAATGAAATGGACTGGCCATGTGACATGTTCACTTCTGTTACCCTCATTTCTGTTATCGATATTTCTGTTACAGTCATTACTGTTACTTGTTATTTGTATTAATGTCATTTCACCATCTATTTCTGAAGAAAAACAACAACTTGTCCCCTATGTTCAAAGAATCTGGACAAAGCTGGTTTTATTTTGAGGCCAGCTGAGGAGGGTGTTAGCTACTTCAGGCCCACTATTATAACAGTTCAGTCTGACCTCTCGCCTCTCTGGCTGTGGAAATCAGCACTCTCCCAAACATTGGCAATCTGTGTACGGTCATCCCCCCCTCCCTCCACCCAGCCCCCAACTCTCTCTCTCACACACACACACACACACACACACACCTCTCCCCACACCTCACTCCAATTCTTACCCTGATTGCAGTCGATCACGTTGCAGAACTCCCTCACGTTGTTTTCATTGATCTCCAGCTGCTTGCGCTCTATAAATGCAGATATCCTCCTATCAATCTATAGTAGTAGAGGAGACAGTTGGAGAGAGAGATGTGACACAGGCTGGATTAAAGAGCTATTGAAATCAAACTACAGACAATTTTTGTTTATATGATGGTAATAAGGCAGGGGCAAGCAAAGCGGAAAGAGACTAACATTCACATCCAAACAGCACGTGAAATGTATTCAGATTCAGAATACCCCATCTCAATTGCTTTGCCATTTCCAAAAATGACAAAGTACTATAAAATACTGTTTATTTGGCTACCAAAATAAATACACAATGAAATACAACAGGCCCCGGCATCCTCTTGTCCTTCATCCACATGCAATCTCTCTAGAGTAATGAGCATCCACTTCATAATCTATCAAGGGCCTGGCCCTCTCGCAAAGCCCTCCTGCTACTGCCACCGCACCACAGTCAGCGACCACACACACACCCTGACGTTCCCTGACTGCAGCCCTCTGAAGGAGCCCTTATTCTGTGCTAAACTGGCTTATTATCAGGTCCTGATCAAGCATTTGATTCACTACTATGTTATTGCAAAGAGTGCAGCACACTCGGAGGCAATTACTTATGATTTTTCATTAGCTTTAGCAGAGAATAGGAAATAGTATTGAAAATACTACTGTATAAACTGCAGCATCAGTACAGCTGAGCGGAGCGGACCAATGACCAAACAGAAGCTACAGTCACTCACCTCTGATTTGGTGGCTCTGATCTGAACGCTGAGGTCATCAACCTGCAACTTGCCCTCCTCCTCTACCTCTGGCCTGGTTGGCTGAGCTGCAGGTAGCATAGGATCTGAGTCTATGGTCATCTCCTCATCAGAAGAGACTGTGGTAATGGTTTCATCCTTGTTGCTCTTTGAAGATGAGGACTGGCCTTCTGCCTCCAGCAGTACCCTCAGGTTGTCTGATACTGACTGTTGAGGAGGAAAAGGATATGAAGCAGGTTATGGGGAAGAGACAGTGAAGTCTATCAACATACACTTTCTACATCCATGAACTAATACGACACAAATAATAAACAAAACTAAAATAATACATTGAAATGCAACCATTTCTGCATGAATGAAAAATGTAATAAATACTGAAGTGTTGTATTCCCATTTGCATCCTTAATTTCCGACACTTCAGATATGACACAGCACATTGTTGTTAGACTGTAGTGTAGTATACCTGTAGTTTGGAGATATGTTTCTGAAGACAGGTGAACACATGATGAGTAGGCTGAAGAGATGTCACATCCACTGCTTCTAAGCTGGTGCTGATTTTCAGAGCGGCTTCACCCAATTTCAGCTTGAAATGAAAAACAGTTAGAAAAGAAATAACAGACTTGGTCCGAACCTGGACTAAGAGTAGTTAAGCCTACATGTTAGCTGTACTAAGTCTATAAACTGTATATTATTTTCAGGGCTATAAGAACGTGAGAGAAAAACAAGCAAAGGTAGTTAATTCAAAAGAGGGCTATTATTTGTTGCTTTGCTGCACGCGGCAGTTGTCAGTAAGTATTTTTTTAGATGCTACTTTGTCGCATTCAGCCTGCTAGATAAAGGAGGAGCCTATTTGTAATCACTGCAACAGCATGCTATTAGTAGTAGCCTACTGTGCTGCCGAGGAGCGAGGGAGCTGCAACACTGAAACTATTCTTGCAACATTGTATCATTTAACGTGCAACTGCATGCTACAAAGGATATTTGCCAGATTCCTATTTGATAAGAACAGACATGCTGCACATCTCGTTGGCATCTCTCGCAGTGATCGAAGCTATTGTAGCTGAATTAGATTGTGTAAAAGCATTATTATACCAACCTCACTCCCGAAGTCTGTGAGCAGATTCAAAAGAATGAAGATATTGTCTCTGTAGCTTGATATTTCCTTGCAAGACGAGGTTTTGGCAACATTTTCCCTTTGTTTATCGACTACACCGTTTTTCTCATTCAACTTCATCCTGTCCGCCATTGCATTTCCGCGTCTCAAGGACAGTGCTCACTGATTGGTTAAAAACGGTCCCTCCAGTACCGGAAGTTGTATTATGTCGCACTGCAAAGCAGTACACGGATGGTGCATAAAACGTTCAAGAAGTTGGCCTTAAACTAAATAGAGAAAAATTAAATATTATGCGCATATAAAATCCATATATACCTCCACTATCTTTGTAGCGAAAATATTATACTATAGATTAGAATAGAATCGGCCTTTTAGAATATCAGAATGTAGACCTACTCAAGGTGAAAAGTCAGATACTGCAAACAACAAAGTGAACCAATGACCTGGTTAGTCAAACACTCCAGAGCCAGTAGGAGCACTCCAGAAACATGATTTAACTTGCATCATATATGAATCGGTACTCAAAACTAAAGTCCTAAATATTTGACTAAACAATTAACACTTAACTTTCATGTCCCACACTCAAATGTGACTTGTATTAGTAGCAAGGACCTGGCAATCAAATAATAGTCTCAGAATTTCGTATTTTCTTGGTTTAAGCAGCTTATTTTTTTGTGTGAACAATAGTAAAAAAAAAAAAATGGAATCACAAAATATTTTATGTACACATATTAAGAGTTTTGCCTTGACAATTTCCCAAACTGGTTCATTTTGTTTATTAATCTCCAATCTGAAGATATTATATTATGGAGACATATTGCAGTATTTTTTATTATTTAAATGATTTGTAATTGTGAATTGAATTATTCCCAGGCAATTACAAATGGCACCCTATTCCCTATATAGTGCACTACTTTTGACCAGAGACTTATGGGCCCCGCTTAAAAGTAGTGCACTATATAGGGAATAAAGCGCCACTTGGGACATAGTTGGTATGATATAAAATACAAATTAAACATTGAAATGTTACCTGAGTCCATCAGTTTGAGAGAAAGTGAATGACTTGGGATACTCGCCATGTTACCCAAACTACAGTGCATTCGGAAAGTATTCAGACCCCTTGACTTTTTCCACATTTTGTTACGTTACAGCCTTATTCTAAAATGGATTAAATCGGTTTTTCCCCTCATCAATCTACACACAATAACCCATAATGACAAAGCAAAAACAGGTTTTTAGAAATGTTTGCAAATGTATTAAAAATAAAAAACGGAAATATCACATTTACATGAGTATTCAGACCCTTTATTCAGTACTTTGTTGAAGCACAGTTTACAGCCTCGAGTCTTCTTGGGTATGACTACAAGCTTGGCACACCTGTATTTGGGGAGTTTCTCCCATTCTTCTCTGCAGATCCTCTCAAGCTCTGTCAGGTTGGATGGGGAGGGTCGCTGCACAGCTATTTTCAGGTTCCTCCAGAGATGTTCGATCGGGTTCAAGTCCGGGCTCTGGCTGGGCCACTCAAGGACATTCAGAGACTTGTCCCGAAGCCACTCCTGTGTTGTCTTGACTGTGTGCTTAGGGTCGTTGTCCTGTTGGAAGGTGAACCTTCGCCCCAGTCTGAGGTCCTGGGCGCTCTGGAGCAGGTTTTCATCAAGGATCTCTCTGTACTTTGCTCCGTTCATCTTTCCCTCCATCCTGAATAGTCTGATGCTGCCACCCCCATGCGTCACCGTAGGGATGGTGCAAGGTTTCCTCCAGATGTGACGCTTGGCATTCAGGCCAAAGAGTTCAATATTGGTTTCATTAGACCAGAGAATCTTGTTTGTCATGGTCTGAGAGTCCTCTATGTGCCTTTTGGCAAACTCCAGCGGGTTATCATGTGCCTTTTACTGAGGAGTAGCTTCCATCTGGCCACTCTACCATAAAGGCCTGTTTGGTGGAGTGCTGCAGAGATGGTTGTCCTTCTGGAAGGTTCTCCCATCTCCACAGAGGAACTCTGGAGCTCTGTCAGAGTGACCATCGGGTTCTTGGTCACCTCCCTGAACAAGGCTCTTCTCCCCGATTGCTCAGTTTGGCCGGGCGGCCAGCCATAGGAAGAATTTTGGTGGTTCCAAACTTCTTCCATTTAAGAATGATGGAGGCCACTGTGTTCTTGGGGACCTTCACTGCTACAGAAATGTTTTGGTACCCTTCCACAGATCTGTGCCTCGACACAATCCTGTCTCGGAGCTCTACGGACAATTCCTTCAACCTCATGGCTTGGTGTTTGCTCTGACGTGCACTGTCAACTGTGGGACCTTATATAGACAGGTGTGTGCCTTTCCAAATCATGTCTAATCAATTGAATTTACCACAGGTGGACTCCAATCCAGTTGTAGAAACATCTCTAGGATGAGCAATGGAAAGAGGATGCACCTGAGCTCAATTTCAGGTATCATAGCAAAGGGCCTGAATATTTATGCAAATAAGGTCTTTCCATTAATAAAAAGAAAAAAAGATTGCAAAAATTTATAAAAACCTGTTATCGCTCGGTCATTATGGGTTATTGTGTGTAAATTGATGAGGATTTATATTTATTTAATACATTTTAGAATAAGGTTGTAACGTAACAAAATGTGGAGAAAGTCAAGGAATCTGAATACTTTCCGAATGCACTGTATATTATTCTCTGTTTTACAATTTAGACACAAGGGGAAAGACTGGTCACTTAATTATAAAAACACTGTCCATCAAACTGCGGTGGAGGTGTGTGTGTGTGTGTGTGTGTGTCACACAAGGGATGGGAACCTGCCTGGCCTGGCCTACGATGGTGTATTGCTCTGTGTTAAGTGACTGTGGGAAAATCTCCTTCCTCTATTCAGGTCGACATTTTCGCCTCTTTTCACATAATGAGGGGGGAGAGACTGATGAAGGGTGGCAACAACAGAAAAAGAACAATTAACAGCAATAAGAAAGCATGAGCACTCAGAGCTGAACCTCATAATGTCCTGGTGGACGGGTTAATCATTTTAGGAAGGGGTTTAGAGACAAGCCTTTCACTTTAATTCATCTCTATGTTTTTTTCTCTCTCCTTGCAGCAGGAAGGGAACTGTAACACTTGACATCTGTTGACATGCTGAGGTTGTATGTTCCCACACTGAGAGGAGCTAGAGAATTAAAAGCTGCTCATTTCATTTGTCTGACTGACTGTGACTGACTGACTGAATGTGTATGATTGACTGACAATTGACTTTTACAGAAATTTAAAAAAATATATATGATTCTAAATATGATTCTGTGCTCAGCCAATATGTTACAATTGTGCTGTAAAATAAACAACCATTGAAATAATACAAACCAATTTTTGCACAAACTGGTGCACTTTAGCCTGCAACGTACTGTATGAAAGGTGCTAAACAAATACACGTTTATTGTAATCATTATAAACTGGATGACTTCATATTTGATCTCTATGATAAATTGTGTTCGCTTTATTCAGGACAGGAATTGGTGCGTTCACAGGTCTAAGGGGTTTGTGTTGGAGTAGGGAGGATGGAAGATGGAGGAGGCTGGCATGAAGTGGTGGAGGTGGTGGTGGGGAGATGGGGATCTGAAGAGGAATTGAAGCTGCCTCTTGCTGCTCTACTATCAGCCACCTGCAGCACAGTAAAAAGCTGCTTATTTAGCCCGTCTGTCTGGTCTCCACTAGCAGATGATGTTGACAGAGTAGAACACGGATAAAGGAAGAGACAGAAAATGAGGGAGAAAAAGAGAGAGAGAGAGAGAGAGAGAGAGAGAGAGAGAGAGAGAGAGAGAGAGAGAGAGAGAGAGGGAGAGAGAGAGAGAGAGTGTCTGACAGACCAACCAACCTGCATATGTCCTCTATGTTTATTGTTATTGTTCAATGTATGGTTATGTTGACCCTTGGTTATTGTTGTTATTGTTGTCCTGTTGACAATATTGATTATTATGATTAATTATGTTAATATTGTAAATCTCCAAAGTAAGCTTTGGCAATATGTACATTGTTACGTCATGCCAATAAAGCAAATTGAATCGATTTGAATTGAGAGAGAGAGAGGGAGAGAGTGACAGGAAAGGAGAGAGAAGTGTTGGCTTCTGAAATGTTATATTTTTGTTGGGAAATTGATAGGCGTTTATATTTTTCATTCTTCAGTTTGGGAGCAATATTCAGAATACACACACCTATACACGAGATGCCAGGGATATTTCCCACTCTCAGCTACACTCCTTAGCACAAAGAGAACATTGTCCTTTATAGTTTCTCTGATTGATTTATTTATTTCCCTGGGACCACCCATACGTAAAAATGTATGCGCACATGACTGTAAGTCGCTTTGGATAAAAGCGTCTGCTAAATGGCATATTATTATTATTATTATTATTATTATTATTATTTTCTTTTCCAGTCTTTTAGACAAAAGTGACTAAACTAAAAGAAAAATAAGTGCTGGTTGTACTTCACCTATTCAAAACAACTTTAATTTCATGTGTCTGGACTAATGTAGAACTATAATTTAACAGTTTAGTAAAGGAAAAAACCACAGTAACATTTTTAACTGTAAGTAGTTCTAGAATAATACCAGGCCGTGTATTTCTATCCTACCACAGATGCTCATCATCAGCGAGGTTTCTAAACATGCGCTTGACTAATCAATGAGGGTGAACAAGCACTTAATGCAAACTGCTGTTGACAGTAGCCAATTGACAGTAGAGTAGCCTAGATACCTCTTTGTCTCATGGAAAATGAAATACACACATATATATATATTATAAAAAATATCTGTTTTAATTTTTTTAAATATTTCAATCATTTTATTTTTGCCTTAAAAAAAGACAACACAAATAAAATGTACAAAAAAATATGTAAACAATCAGACAGGTGAAACAAATGCAACTTTAAATATCCTTTAGCTTTTACATTATTTCAACTAAATTAAGCAATTACAATGGGAAAGAAAATGACATCATTAACATACATTAATAACATAGAATAGTGAAACTAAAAAAGTTACTTAAAAGTTCCACTTTATGCTGCTGAGAGCATTAATGAGAATACTCATTAGGCTTTTAAAGCAGTCAGTTATAGTGCTGTTCTGTTCTTTCCCACCACTGACTGTGTCACCAATCAGCACAAGTACTGTAGAGGATTAGCTA